TGCTACGATCACTTGCTTGCTGTCAAGCTGAACATTACATGTCGAGGTGTGCAAAAAGAATCTCACGAGACAAGAACGCGATTATGTCCGAAAGAGTCCTGTTGCGATAACTACACGGGTAAATGAACCCGGTTCTTCTTACGTTCTCATTTCGCTTTATCTGTGTATAGGGTGATCGAGAAGTCACATTATCAAGTAATGTCTAAAGTTAAGATGTACATGGCGATATTATTGAAATAACCCATTAATTGACATGACATATATAAAGTGACATAAAATAATATGGGCTAAAAAAATGTTAAAAGAAAATTAAGTAGTGTACATGTATCTAAATATATTTTTGATTTTCAATATATATATTTGAATATTATATGTATAAAATATGCTTTACTATTTCCATAATTTAAATTGAATATAAAAGCCGCAGCACAGACTTTTGCATAATGCATAAGAGAATCAACCAATCAAAATTCTTCCTTTCCGTGAAATGGCAGGAAAGGGCGGTTTCTGATTGGTTGATTTTTGGTTGGTCACTTAAGCACTATGCGTTATGCAAAAGTCTGTGTTGCAGTCATAATGGTAATAAATATTTTCAGATAGTTTATTTTTATTTTGTATTTCTTATATTATTCTTATATTATTTTTATATTATTCTTATATTCTTATATTATTCTTATAAACTGTGTTACATTTACATTTAGGTGTTACATTTATATTTGTGTAATACTTAATTTTTATTTAATTATTATATATTTTTTTTTATTGTATTCTTATTACATTTTTCTTTATTATATTTTATTTAAATTGTAGGAATAGTAAGGCATATTTTATACATTATAATTTCGAAGGTTGTTAAACAGAGATGTAAAAATCTAAACAACACAAAGTCTAAAATTGTGACATAAGACATCTTTAAGTCATCTTTTAGATGCAAAAAACGTCTTATGATTCCGATTTTAGACACTTTTTGTTACTTGGGAAGGAAGAAAGAAGCAAAAGAAAGGATGTATATCTGTGAGACATTATAAATCAATCAATCGTAAGATATATTCAAAATGATAAGTAATTCTTCGTGTGAAATTAACTCTATTTTATTTTAACATTACATATTTTTACATTTAAATTTAGAATTATTAATGAGAATGGATCATAATAAGTCAAGTATTCAACTTAAGATTTCTTTGTTTGAATGTGACTTAAGGAAAGATCCGAAATCTCGCGAGATGTTCAAGGTTATACGATCTCAAGGGATAGTTACCAAGGAAACGATTGTGTTTATCGGTCCCGACCTTGGCCACGCTCGCACAACCACCCCTGCCGACCAAAGAAGGAGATGGATCATCCCTTGTCGGTTATTCTCCTTTCTTAGGCTAGAATCTTCCCTCATAAAAAATTGCCTCTTTTTGATGAAGAACTGATTTCGTCTTACGATTATTGATCTTGCAATCACAATTAAGAATAAATTAATATTCATGGATAGTGAATATTATATTATGATAAGGAAAAGAAGGTATGCTTAATACAGATAGAATAAATGAAGAATTGAACCAACTTTTATAGCTTTTGTAAAAAATAGTTTGTTTTATTTTGTATTTCGTATTTAGTTTTATTTTGTATTTAGTTTTTATTTCGTCCTTTTCCCTTTCGATTTGCCCTTGAATTCTATAATTCAACTATTATTTTTGTTTTGTTTTTTTCGAAGATATACCTGGATAATTCATTTCAATTTTGGAATGTTGGGATTCTTTCATCATAAGTTATAATGTAATGAATTTCACAAACTGAGTGAAACAGAAAAATCCATTGCAGCCGCTACACTAACGAAAAAGGCTGAAGCCTTTCATTGAGAATTTTATGTTGTATAAAATTGGACGAAAAAAATATACGAGTTGATTTATGAGCAGATATAATTGCACAGGGTATTCAAAGATGTATTTTACATTAACAGAAGTTAATCTGTAACTATCGTTAAGGGAATCCTAAATCTGTATTATCGAAATGCAATAATTTTTGTACAACAGTTACTTTTTTCTTTTATAGATTTGAAAATTCTTTATCATGATTAAATTATACGCATTAATACATATGTTTAAGATGGAATTTTTGTCCAGAATAAAAAAAGTTGTTTAAATTGAAATCTTTTATACTATTTCTTAGTCCAATATGATGTCAGAGCTGTCAATATCGTAACAATTTATATAAAAGCTTTGCAGTACGAAATTATGGTCCATAGATTAATTAATAGTTTATACGAACAAACAACGTAAAATTCTTAGAATTTGACTTAGTCGTCTAATTAAACTATTGTTGTACGAAAATTTATGTGTACATGTGATATTGATGTACAGTAATGCAAAAATATGTCGATGTGTCGCATTTGATTAAATTTATATTAATAAAACATTAATAAAACATTAATAACATTAATAACATTAATAAAACCTCGTCGGAGTTCAAGTTTCATTTTAGGAACTTTTTTTGCAAAGTTACTTTCCTCCCCATCTACCACGACGAAAATTTGAGAAACAAAGTTTTATAATAAAAATAGTGTACCTATAATGGAGTAAGTATCTTTTTTGATTTGACCTTTTTTGACCTGATTGAAGAAATGCTGAATAAGTATTTGGCAATGCGATAAAAAGTATTGCGTACTATTATTATTAT